TTTGAGTTGTTCTTTTCAACCCTTGCTTTCTAGGAAAAAAAAAAAAAAAAAAAAGGTTTCCATTTTTGGCTACAGTCAGAGTTAGGTTTCAAAATTTAAAAAAAAAAAGGGGGGGTTTCTCTACTTCTGCCTCAAGACAGGAGGTCTGGGTCATAATATTAGCAGACTAGCACTGGTGGTTTCCCTTCTGGTGACATAAAATTACATGCTTCTAAAATGTGGCTTCTTTTGATTGCTTCTAATTTGAACTTGGCTTTTTATTTGTGACCAACTCCCATTAGTTTCAAACCCAATAGTATATGACAGTTTACTCTCTCACCCCAAAGAGAAAAGGCAATTTCTCCATCTGACTCATCTAGCTGCTCTAGGCAACTAGAGACTTTGTAGAAGTGTTAGAATCCTTTTCAGTAGTGTGTACCAGAAAAACACCTGCAGAGACTTTTAGCTAAGCTGGAAGATACACAAGCATTGGTCACCAAGCACCGTGATTAGTAACTCCCACGTGACTCCTTGAGGCGTGATGCGCATATTCAGCACACTTAGACCTGGTACATTATTCTGGCTGTGTTCCCTTTTGAAAATTTTTTAAATCATAAAAAAACTGATCATCACAACTGTGCTTTCCCTTCTGGGTAACATCCCTTAAAAACATGAGCTAAATCCATGTATAATACCTATGGAGCTCCATCTTGCAAATGCCTAGGTAAAGAAACCAAACTGACTTGAGATGACACCAAAATGCAATGGCAAAAATGGAGGTCTTTTGACATTTCTAAATTAATATATTTGCACGCAAAATTGGAAAAGGCAGGTTTTAGAATGAAATTTAATGGAACATCTACTTTTTCTTTTGCCTGGCTAAATCCTTATAAAAAAAGAAAATTGAAAGCATATTTTCAGAGAGTTTTTCTTTTACTTTCTCAAAAAAACCCTTTCAATGCTCAAACTGCTTGTTTGACTTTGCTGCAAGATTTATAACACATACTTTAAACTTTCCCAGGCCTTTCTCAGTCTCACAGAGATGTAAATCTTACCATGTATTCGAAATGTTAACATCCAGAGAATTAGCAAAACAGTATTTTGGCTGAGATAAAATTGGAAAATGAATTGAAGGTTTTTAGACACTCAGAATTTTATTTCTGAGTTAATACTTCCACCTTAGGCAAGAAACATTTGTAACAATTGTTTTCTATTATCTGAGTGACTCTTAACCTTTTGGAGTACATATTTGTAACCTTTTCCATGCCCATAAACAGCTGTTGTTCTCCTGTTTTACCACCATTTCTTTTAATTTTCTGGCTGGCCTTTGTGGGTAGATGGTAAGCTGAGAAGCTGAGACACTGGAAAATATTGTCTGAAAATACAGATTGCACCCCACTAGTAGCAAGCAGTTCTTGGAAGAAGTTTTGATTATGAAAGAGCTTCAATTTTTGGTTCTCTCTTTGGAGCTTTAGTTAAAGCCATACAGAATTTCTTGAAATTGGCACCATGCATATTTATTTCTGTTGGTTTTTAATCACTAGTTCAGACATGCCTTTAATTTAAAATTCTGGTTTATATGTAGAGTGTGATGGAAACTATTGTTTTGTTTGCTTAGCCTTCTCTCCTGTGCTAAATAAAATCATACACTGTGGTTTGGAAGAAAAAAAGTAATTTACTAAAAAATTTCAAAGACTAAAAGCTTTAAATAGTGATTAACCTAGACCTCCAGTAAACAAAAATGTCCCATCTTCAAAATTTCTTATTGATGTAAATTTTAGAAAGAAAAAGACTCATAAATAAATGTTTGCTATTTACCTGGTTAAAATCTAATTTTAAGAAACGTAAGAGCTCTGCAAAGTCCATATGCTTAAAACCGATATTCAGACTGTACATGTAGGTTAGCTTGAGGCCTGTTGTTTTTCCATATAAGCTTCTCAGGCGACTGAATTTCTCTATCCCTAAACTCCTACTAACTTTATGTTCTCCCTCTGTATTTTCTCTTGTTGACTTCCCACCTACAAATTTTATTGGAAATGCCATAAAATAAAAGACTCTCTCCAAACCTGTTGGAAGGAATCATATTAGACATTGTTGGCCAATACCTGTGCTGCTAAATTGAAGAGCAATGTCTTTTAGAGTATTTGGTCACCCCTCTAACTGTGAATAGCTCTGAAGAAACCCAGCACTGGACACATTCTCTCAAACATTTCCCCAGGGATGACCACCTATCTCTTTTAGATGGTGATTCTATTTTGAGGAAATCTGCTAATTATCTGCCTGGCTTAAGGAAAACAGTTTTATTTTACCGGGAAAATGCCTTTCCCTTGGTGAGGTGGTCACTTCCCATGAACACATAATTAAGAATATTTCTATAACCTTAGAAAAAACATCACTGATGAAACTGTTGCATTCATTGCAGCTCAACAAAAAGGCTACTGATTCACCAGCTGAGACTGTACTAGACAATCATACTGCTTTAGGTTATATATTGGGTGGGCAAAAAGGTGTATGAATGGTTGCAAATACCTCTTTATAGCGTATACATAATGCTTCCTATGAAGTAGAAACTCACCTAAAAAAAAAAAAAATTAGGAAAGAAGCCATTTGGCTGCCACATATCTGAAGAACCTGGATTTTGTTTTCTCCCCGATGCACTTAGTTTGCTCTGTAATGAAATAGCTTTGTTGTTGTTGTCATCATTCTGGCATACAAATTTCTCCTTTTATAATCCTATTTATTTCTTCATGTTTAACTTGTTCCAAAAAAATTTAAATCATGATATTACAAAGACTAGAGAAGATAAAAACAAGCCACAGCAGCTCTGTAAATCAACGAGTTGACTGTAGTTTTATTTTTGCCACTCTGTGATGCCATCACGATTTGGCTTTTTGGACACTTTGAACATTTCTCACCGAGACGTCTCCTCTTCCTCCCCACCCAATGTGAGACAGGGCTATCAGGGAAGGAGCCTTCTCAGTCAGAGAGACACCCTAACAGACTTTGATCATTGATGCTTTCAAAATTAAAGATTTTGATCAAAAACAGAAAAAGAAGAAATAAAAATTGGCTGGGCGCAGTGGCTCACACCTGTAATCCTAGCACTTTGGGAGGCCAAGGTGGGCAGATCATGAGGTCAAGAGATCGTGACCATCCTGGCCAACATGGTGAAACCCTGTCTCTACTAAAATATACAAAAATTAGCTGGGTGTGGTGGCGCTCACCTGTAGTCCCAGATACTTTGGAGGCTGAGGCAGGAGCATTGCTTGAACCCGGGAGGCAGAGATCGCAGTGATCCAAGCTCACGCCATTACACCGCAGCCTGGCACCTGGCGACAAAGCTAGACTCTGTCTCAAAAAAAAAAAAAGGAAATAAAAATCTATTTTATTTGAAGAAAGCAAGCCCCTCTAAATTATCAGGCCCAATGAAGGAAAGGATGAATGCAGTCATGTCCCACTCACCCTCCAGACCACTGAGCTAAATTATCATGCAGCTGCTTGCTATGTGAATTCCAGACTGACACAAAAAGTAGTCATAAAAGAACCTAACAATGCTACATGCTGTACACCATAACTTATAACCTACAGTTCAACCATTTAGAGTAAACCACTAATCAGCACTATTTCTGTGAACCAATCAATAAAAATTCCTGACAAACAACTTTGTATTGGCCCACTCGTTTGTCTTTAAAAAACTGCATGTAACAAAGATCAAATGGGGCTCATATCCAGGTTACTTCCAAGCACCTGTCATCACCTTGGCTAAAGCCTTCCAGGCACCTGTCATCACCTTGGCTAAAGTAAACCCTTTAAAAATCTATTTTATGCTTTAGTTTCTTTCTTTGGGTTAACAAATGTATAAAGCATTAGCACTTGAGGATAAAACTAAAAATAACATTGCCACATCAAAAAATTAAATTAAAACAACTCAAATCCTAAATGGGTTAAACAGTAAGCCAACGGAGTGAGCTAAGGCCTAAACAGAAACATATGCGCAACAGACTGAGGCAAAGAAACAACAACAACAACAAAAACCTCTCCAGCATAATATTAATGAACGTTAAAGATAACATTAAGTTACTAAAAATTCAAAAAAGGTAAAAGCAAGCCAAACCCTGCTTATGATAAACAGTTAAGCAACAAAAAAATGTCAGAACTGTGGTCACAGTCACCTTTGGGTGCAGAAGGTAGATGAGATCAGGAAAACACCAGAACTGCAGCAGCCCTGTTTATTCACCTAGTGATTCTATAAAAGGTTACATTCTTATTTAAACTCAAAAGAAACAACTTAGTCCCAGGATTATCTTTGCTTTTTCAGGTATGACACAATCCACGCAGATTTTCAACCAATGAAATAAAAATCTTACACTCTAATCATAAAATAAAATTTTTAAATACTTAGACACACTGGAATTATATGGTAGCAGAAAGGTTTTATTTTTGTAAAAAAGGAAATGTGAATACAAGAGCTCAGGGAAGCAGCCTCTTGTATTCACATTTCACAAGAAACCACAGAATAGGTTAAACATGTTTCCGAGCTTGATGTCCACTCTCACTGTGAAGGTAGCCCAGGGCGGCTCACTCCTAGATGGTGAGTGGAGAAAAACTGAGCGGCTGGGAAATGAAATTCTGGGAGCTCCACACTCCCCACTGTCCCCTTCTCACAGCAATGAAAATGCTCTCTCCTTCAGGATATCAGTTCTAAGCAGTGACAAAACTCACCTGGAGTCGGTTTAATGTGCTAACCTTCGATGGCTTTTTTCTGAAAATACTTCTGGCAGCAAATGTGTGGAGCTTGTTGAACACAAACCAATTCTCCAACAATTTGTCCAGCAATTCAATTCTATTATCACCCAGAGTTAGCACAGACCACACAAGTTCAGAGCTCAGTCCCACAAACTGCCCCCACTACAGATGCTAGTCTGGGGGGCCACCTATACTTGTGAGCAACTATCTATAAATCAGGGGCTCCTGTAACTCCTCCAGTCCAGTAACCTGTTAGAACTACTCACAGTACTTACTCAGTAAAACATTTTACTTGTTTGCCAGCTGATTACGAAGGACACAACTCAGGAACAGCCAGATGAAAGAGATGCATAAACCTGGGGAGAGTGGTGGGGGAGGATGGGACAAGTAAGCGACCCTGGTAAAAAGATGTAACAAAGGAAATCCCCCATCATTTGTGTTCAGAAAGAGCAACTTACTGAAAAACACACCCTTCCCATTATGACGTAGATAATGCTCCCTTATTTCCCTATGACAAAACCCGACACAGACACTGAAAATTTTTATTTTTGCCTCAGGAACAATTAGCCGAACAGTTTTTTCTTCATTGGTCAGAACAAAACACTTATTAATCAAACTTTGCTTAAGTTTCTCTCCTTACCCCAAGCTCCTGGCCTCTGACTCACCTTAGTCTGAATCAAAATACAACCCCTCTTTCTGCTCCTCCTAAGAACAGGCTGACTTCAGGGCAACACATTCTGATTTCAAAGTTGATATTGCCACCCTCCATCCTGGCTTCTCCCTCCTACCTTCTTTTAATTTTGTTTGCTTCCCTCTAGGAAAAAAAAAAAAAACAAAAAAAAACGCTTTTCTACCCAAACTTTGAGATGCTGGCAGATCTCATACTTGGTTCTTTTTTCTACTGCAATACTCCCTTAGAATAGTTACTTCTAACCTTAACTTAAATTATTTTATTTGACATTATCTAGAAATAGCCCAGGACAATGACAATGACATCCTGAGAAAACGCATCACACTCACTACCTCCATCCTAAATCTCACCAGTTTTCCCGTGGATCCCAATTTTTCCAGGACTCTGCATAAAAAGCTCCTTCCATGGTTGACATAAACAGATTGGAACACTTGCAAGGAAGACTTCCTGGGAAAAACGAACTTGGCTTTCAATGACAACCTTTTGCAGAATTAGGATGGATGTTTGCCTGGATTCTCTAATCTCATGTCTCTGCTTTCAAGTCAAGAATATTCACTTGGTTTTAATGAAGAAAATACTGCTTGCAATGGTGGCTCACACCTGTAATCCCAACACCTTGGGAAGCCAAGGTGGGCAGATCACGAGGTCAAGAGATTGAGACCATCCTGGTCAACACGTTGAAACCCCGTCTCTACTAAAAATACAAAAAGTAGCTGGGCATGTTGGCACCTGCCTGTAATCCCAGCTACTTGGGAGGCTGAGGCAGGAGAATCACTCAAACCCAGCAGACAGAGATTACAGTGAGCTAGGATTGCGCCACTGCACTCCAGTCTGGTGACAGAGCGAGACTCCGTCTCAAAAAAAAAAAATACCTAGTGATAAGTAAATCCAGCAAAAGTACTCAAACTCAGTATTTGTTACAGAAGGGCAGGAAATTGTAACGCACTTATATTTTATACCTCAACAAAAAAACATAAGTACCTATCTTTTTCCAGGCAATAAACATGTCATTTAATTATTTTTATAACAAATCATATAGTAAACAATTAATATGTGAAACTTCTAGTAGTTGTCAAGTTTCATTCCAAATTTAGCATTAAACTGAAACCCAGATAACAGAACTGAGGTACCCACTGTCAAAAATTCTCTACCCATGCCCAAGAGAGAAACTGATGCTTTCATAAATGTTTGTAATTCACGTGTTAATCTATTTTTTTTTTTCAAAAATGTATTTATTTTCCCTCAGCCATAATGAGAAACATTTTTTATATTTTTTTCTCAGGTAGCATTTTCAAAGCTAAGCCCTGGGATTCTGTTTGAAATCACGCTAAAATAGAAGAGACCTCAGAATCTGTCTACATTCTTTCTGCAAAATAAAAATGGTAAATAATTTTTTTTTTTTTTTTTTTTTGGAAACAAAGTCCCATTCTGTCACCCAGGCTGGAGTGCAGTGGCGCTCTCTCAGCCCACGGCAACCTCCTCCTCCCGGGTTCAAGCAATCCTCTTGCCTCAGCCTCCAGAGTAGCTGGAATTTCAGGTGCAGGCCACCACATCTGGCTAATTTTTTGTATTTTTAGTAGAGACGGGTTTGGGCCATGTTGGCCAGGCTGGTCTTGAATTCCTAACCTCAGGTGATCTGCCCTCCTCAGCCTCCCCAAGTGCTGGGGTTACAGGTGTGAGCAACCTGTGACCAGCTGAAAATTTTTAACCAATGGAATATAAAACGAGCTATTTTCTCTGAAATCTATCCCTTTCCCTCCTCTTAGAAAACATTTGTGTCTTTTGTCTTTCAAGCTCTAATGATAAACTACATTATACAGTTAATAAAATCTGTAATAAGTGAACAAATATATTCAAGGTGACAAACACAAGGAGAGGTAGTACTGACCGGAACACAGGCATATTAGACTTGTGTGTCAATCATTTGAGAGATTCTCCCACCCCCATCCTGCTAAGGTAATTAATCACCACCCTCTCAGAAGCCACTGTCCTTACTCCCTGTGCCTGATGAGTATTTTGCTTTGCAAGTTCACACACTACCTCATTAGGGTGGGTTTCCCTTGCACTTTGGGATAGTTATACTCCCTTCACAAGCCTGAGAGAAACCAGAGGATAAGACGCATTTTTGCCTTTTCTCCTCAGTACCAGAACCAACGTGTCTGACTGGAATGGAAGCTGAGGCTGAGGGGGGAAAAAAATCTTAATATTCAAGCAGTTAGCTTTTTAGAGGAAGTGAATATCAGGAAACTGCATTCAGCTCCAGGGCATCTAGCTGCTCCCTTAAGTGGCTCCACCCAATACCTCAGGCTTTCTTCTGGGAGGGGAAGACCCAAGGGCTGACACTGACTAGATACTCCAAGAGACAGGGCCACTGTGAGCATCTTGGGTCATCCCCAGACAGTCGTAAAAGTCAGAACCAGTTAAAGAGTGTCTGAGGACGTGTCACCCTGCAAAGGTTCCAAAAAAGCAACCTCAACCCAAAGACATTCTGTTAAGGTGTGTGTGCCATGGCAAGGTAAGAGGGTGCAAAGATTTGTTACAGTAGAGCGTCAGGCAATTATTCTTTCCTTTCTTCGTGTGAAATGTTCACAGATGGAAAAACAAGAGCCAACCACTGCTGTGTGAAATGAAAATGAACAATTAAAATACTGTTGTCTTAAAACTAAATAGAGAACCAATAGTTGATAATGCTGTAATTTGGAGAGAGATAGTTGGCAACTGAGAATTTGGGAAAGAAAGGGGAAATCTAGAATTTTCTACAGGCCCTGGAACAGTTAGGCTGGGAGAACAGGTATGGATTTGGTGACCCTGCTTGCCATACATTTGAAAAATGCAAGGAAAATCACCCCCACTGTGGAGCATTAAAGAGTTGGCAATTTGACTGAAATAGCCATGGTGCCCTGGGATTCTACCTGAGGAAACCTAACTATGTCAAAGACATTTCTTGTGAATTACTAACTTAGAGAAAAACAAAAGTTAGGCTTAACCAGCCACAAACTGCCAATAAAGCTCTGACTACACAGCCAGGACATTTCCACCTGATGCATGCAAATGCAATATCTACCTGTACCCAATCAATCATTTAATATGCTTTGCTTTCTCATGCTTCTTACAAAAGCCTTTTCTTCAAGCCCCACCTTTGAGCCCACAAACAACAAACCATAATTGGATGCTCTCTGATTCATAAACTGCTGTTTGGGCAAATAAACGGTGTGTATTAATTCCTGCATTGATATAAAGAATTACCTCAGAACTAGGTAATCTGTAAGAAAAGTGGTTTAATTTGCTCATGGTTCCACAGGCTGTACAGAAAGCAAACAGCAGCATCTGCTTCATGGGTGGCCACAGGAAGCTTAAAATCATGGTGGAAGGCAAAGTAGGAGGTGGCAAGGAGGATAAGGGAAATGAGGTGTGGTATACACTTTTAAATGGCAAGATCTCCCAAAAACTTACTATTGGAGAGACAGTATCAAAACGGGTGGTGCTAAACTACTCATGATAAATCTACCCCAATAATCCAATCACCTCCCACCAAGTCCCACCTCCAACATTGAGGATCACATTTCAATCAGAGATTTTGGCTGAGAAAAACATCCAAACTATATCACTGCTTAACATTTTAAAGATATCTCAATTTAGGCCAGGGCAGTGGCTCAGGCCTGTAATCCCAGGACTTTAGGATGCCTGAAGCGGGTGGATCACTTGAGATCACGAGTTCGAGACCAGCCCGGACAACATAGCAAAGTCTGTCTCTACAAGAAATACAAAACAGCTGGGAGTGGTGGCGCACGCCTGTAGTCCCACCTACTTGGGGCCTGGGGTGAAACGATCACCTAGGCCCGGGAGTTGGGGGCTGTAGTGAACCGTGAAATTGCTACTGCATTCCCGCCTGGGCTGCAGAGTGAGACACCATCTCAAAATAATATCATCAATTTAATTTTTAAGTGGAGAAAGAAGGAACTGGGGGCGCCCGGGCCCACTACTTTTTTCAAGAAAAAACTCCGGACCCCAAGTGGGGATTCCTTCCCCTTATTCCCTCCAATCATGCCCGCACAATCCGAAGGAGACTCCAGGTTGCGCACAGAGATGCCCACAAAGGGCTCTAGGCTGGGGAGCAATTCACGCTGATGGACGGGGCAACACGCTCGGGATCTGGCTGCTGGCTGAGTCCCTAATCTGCGACGGAGGGAACGGAGGGCCGAGCTGTGCCGGAGCAATCCTGGGTCTGCAAACTAGAGCTGACCACGAAGCCCAGACCCCACCGCAGCCGGTTCCCGCCGGATTGAAACCGCCTCTTCCCCCTTTTCCGGACGCCAAACCCTCGCACTCACCATTTTCCAGCCTCTGGATGTTTCGGCGTCCTCCCTAGGGATCTCCCAGTACTCGCAGGTCACAGGATACCGGGGGCTGTGGTAGAGTCACCTAGGAGGTCTAGGAGCAGGTGAGACGAAACAATGGACACAGGAACTGAACCCAGAGCCTGGTCGCTAGGAGAGAAAGACCCGTCCAGCTTGTAGAGGCCGCCTCTTCCTCTCTGGCTGCGCTCCTGATTGGACAGTTTTTACACTGGACCAGTGATTGACTAGAGCTCCAGGCCCCACCCCCTTCAGGCCCTGAGTGACAGGAGATGTAACCAGACCCTGCCTGAGGGACATTTGCGTTTAACTTGGCGCTACCGGGAGCGCGCCTTCTACTACCACGCGCGGCTGGATGACCACCCGACAGTGCGCCCGCTCTTGCAGGAAGGCCGGTGCTGCTCGTCAGCGACCCCAGGTAGTCTGGGCTGGAGGACGTAGAGCCACGACGGAGGGGACCCGGGTACTGGCTGAACGAATAGGTGGGAGTAGGGGACACTTTGAGAAGGCACGTCTCCCTCCTCCCGGGAGCCTAGACGTCACTCCAGGGTCTGGGGTCCCAGGTGGACGGTGGAACACTGGCCTGACGGGCTGATGGACACTGCCTCGGACATTCCTGCTGGAGCCCCAGCCCCTGACACTGACCTAGGACATTCATGCTTCTGCCTAGCGTTTCAGGAGGGAGCATTGAGCCTTCCAGCTCTACTGTGTGACTTTGAGGCTGTCGTTCCCCTCTTAGGGCACCGGTGACCCGTCTTCATTGGGAAGCACTACGCCATCTTGGAAGGCTCCCGTGGGCAACCAGAAAGCATCACATACAGAGGGGCACAGAGGGTACGAGAGAGAAGCTCTTGGGCACATTTTCTTTGCCCAGGATATTCTTCCAGCCACACTTTTGTCCAACCCATGCCCCCTCCGTGGTGCACTTTTCAGTCTCTTCTCTGCAGCTGCAATCCACTTGGAATTGCAGCCTCTTTCAGGAAGTCTTCTCGAACTTCCTCCTTCCCAGCCTGAGAGCACCTAGCCCTCTTTGAGGCCCCCACAAGCCCTTCATGCAGTGAACAGCCCTGGCTGGGGGTGCAGCCGCTACTGCCCAAACTCTCAAATGACTAAGGGTGGCGATGTGGTCATCCCACCGCCTTCTCAGCTCTCCAACTGTGCCCTATCTTCACCTCCAAATACCGTCTCAGGAGGGACTCGTGCCCACCCCCTGGGCGGCTTCCTGCTACCCCTTACATCCAGATGCCTCGCCGCCTGCGTGGGCTCTTGAGGCATCGAGGGAGGCGGTCTGAAGGGCCCTGGTGAAGCGGCTGCAGATCTGAGAGTAGGGAACTGGGCTGAGGCGTGGGAGGTCATCGTGGGCATTGCAGGGGGGTGTGTTATAGAAATTTCGGGTAGAGACTTAAAAGGCAGTATGCCGGCCTCTGTCGCACCTCTGACCTGCAGCCACGTCACCTCGGGTCCATTGCGCAACCCCCGGGGAGGGTGTTTTGGGAGGGGGGCGGGGGTTATGCAGGTCCCCGAGGGCCGTGTTCACGCCCCAAGCACCCCAGATGCACAGGCACTGAAGCCTGGGAAGAAATAATGTTTTAATTAAGAGTCTGTTGGTCAGAGGGACCAGGGCACGGACAGGTGAAGAGTAAATTGCCACCACGGGGACAGCCGTGCCCAGATAATGTATTTGCTTATCTCCTAGTCAGCACCAGGTCCGCCAGGCTCCCTCTGGCCTTCCCTCAGAGCATCCGCTGAACTCCAGGCATCTACCTTCCAACTCCCACTTGGCTGAGGGGAGGGAGAGATGGAGGGGAAGACAGAGAGGGACCCCTTCCCCACTTCACTCCCACATGCAGACCTGCTGGAGCTGCTAGGCAGAGTGACTTGAGTCTCGCCTACCCCAAGGTGTGCCTGCAGGGGAGTCTTTCTGTTCCCTCCCCACCCCTCCCTATAGGTGCCTAGCCCAGGACCCTGTCCCCAAAGACCCCACTGTGTGCCCAAGGGACTCCTCCTAGAGCAGAGTCTTCTAGCCCCTATTCTTCAGTAGGTAAACTGAGGCCCAAGGAGGTTGTCAGGGACACAGAGCAGGGATAGGCAGCCCAGATCCCTGCAAATGCGTAGCTTGGGCCTCTGCCAACAGCAGGGTCACATGCTTATGTCTTGAGTCTGGGTCCCCTCCACCACATTCCCCTGTGAATATTTGAGGACCTGCCTCTGCTAGGGTTCGGCAAGAAAATGGGGCATTTTATAATCACCCAAATTCCATTCTTTGATCCCTTCTCCATGCCAGCACCTGTGCACATCTTTGGGGAGCGCTGTCTCACTCAAAATTGACAGTTTTGCTGCTCAGAGGCCAGGATTACAGATAGCTCATTTTGCAAATAGCTTTTGGCTTGCCAAAGGCGACTGCCCTCTGAGCTAGTGCCACAGCAGCCTCTGAACTATGGATCCCAGCCCATGTGGGGAGCTGGTAGAGGAACGGGCAGGGTTTCCAGCTTCTCAACTCTAGGTGGAGGTGAGAGAAAGCATTTTCAGGGCGATTTGACATTTAACAAACAATAGGCAAATCGCATGCAAATTGTGTGCAAACCATCACCCATTTCTTAAGCCTCGACAGGGCTGGCTTGCTCTGAAATAATAATATTGGACCTATCCCTTGGTGATGGCCTAAGTGGGGAGGTGCACAGCCTTTTCCACACTCCCTCCTCTCTTCCTACTCCATCTTTTCTTCCTTCCTCCCTTCCTTTCCCTGCTTCTTTCCCTCTCCCTCCCTATCTTCCATTTTTTTTCTCTTTTCTTTCTTCATATTATTTGTTGAAGGCCTCCCTGGCCTGGGATGAACATAAGTAGAAAAAGTGGCTTCCAGCAGCCCATTCTTCAGACTGGGAGACTCAGGCCCGGGCCTGCAGTCCCACAGCCACACGGTGGAAAGCACCCCCAACAGAGTGTCATTGTGCACCAAACAGCATGGTCCCTGTGAGCCAAAGAGGAGAGATGACAGTCGTTGAAGTAGTCAGAGATGCTTCGAGGAGGCTCCAGGCCTGACAGGGCTTGACAGGGCCAAGTGGAACTATTGTATTTCTTGGCCTTGAATGACAAGCAGCTCATCTTGTATCTGGAGAAGGCTCACATTGATGCTTCCTGCTCTTCCATTCTGTCTTTCTCCTGCTCCTCCATCCACGTGTCCCTGCATTCTGGCCACAGTCCCTCCACTTGGTGTGCATGTCCCACCTTCTCTGTTTGACAAGCTTCTCTTCATCCTTCAAAGCCCTGGCTTCAATGCCCTCTTCTCCTTGCAGCCATTTCTGATCTTTCAAAAAGAGCCTACATCTCTTGGGGCTCCTGCTGCTTCCAGCCTCACCTCTCGCTCACCCAGGATCCACCAAACTGGGAGGTCTATGTCTTCTACTAGCAGCCAGAGTCATTACTACCTTTGGGGCCCCAGGATCACCCAGCTTGGGACTAGATACACAGATTTTTTTTGAGACTGTACTGAATAAAAGACTAAGTGTTTGAAAACAAAAAGAGAAAAATTAAAAATTAATAAAAATAAAAAGGAAGCAATCTTCTAAGGCAGCAATATTCACTATAAATAAAACATGAGTCATGCGTGTCATTTAAAATTTTCTAGGCTGGGCACATGTAGAAAGTAAAGAGTTCCTCTTCAAAGATTCCCTTCTTATGAAAGAATAAATAATAAATCTTATAAACAATAGTTTCCTTTAAAGACTAACTTGCTTCAAAGCCTTCTTGCTTTTTGCTGATAACTCCTTGTTAAGCCCTATCCTATGTAGCTGTTAGATATAAGGGAATAAGTGCATTCTTTGTCCTTGTACTTTAACCAAGATATTTGTGCTGGACATACTAACTCTCAGCCTATGCCTCTTCCTTATTTGGAAATGTTATTACTTTTCTAAGTCCTTTTGCAAGTAACTTTCTCTTTTCCTTTGGTTCTCCATTGCCTTTACCTATTTAGGAAAGTTTTAAGTTGTTAGCCCATTGGGTTTATCTTAGACTGTGAGGTCCAGCTCCAACCAATGGAGATAGGACACAGTAGTAAGACTCCAATGTGTAAGGGATAAATATTCCTGCCTTTCTTTGTTCAGTGGGCTCTCATGGCAAGATTGCTGACAAGCAGCACCCTTTCTGCAGAAAGTAAAATTGCCTTGGTGATAAAACTTTTCGTCTGAATAATAATTTTTCCTTGTGGCACCAAGGAACAAGCACTTTGTTTCTAACAACACAGTGCTTCATGCCTATAATTCCAGCACTTTGAGAGGCCGAGATGAGTAGATCACGAAGTCAGGAGTTCAAGACCAGCCAGACCAACATGGTGAAACCCCGTCTCTACTAAAAATACCAAAATTAGCAGGGTGTGGTGGCGCACACCTGCAATCCCAGCTACTCGGGAGACTGAGGCAGGAGTATTATTTGAACCTGGGAGGCAGAGGTTGCAGTAGGCTGAGTTCACACCACTGCGCGCCAGCCTGGGTGACAGAGCAAGACTCCATCTCAAAAAATGAAAATAAAATAAAGTTTTCTAGGAGCTATATAAAACTAACAAAAGAGAAATATATACAATTGATAGGAATAATTTATCCCAATATAACCAAAATATTATTTTAATATGTAATCAATATAAAATTATTAGTGAAGTAGTTTTGGTACTCTGTCTTCAAAATTCACCCTATATTTTAAGCTTCCAGTACTTTGGTTCAGAATAACCATATCCCAGGTACTCAGTCACTCTGGGGGGTCTAAATACTCTGACCTTAGTAAGGTAAAGGACCTGAACCCTTTTTTTACCAGATGTGAGTAAACACCCCCTCTTTATTAATATCTCTCCTTTAAGGCCCAAGGGTAGGAAAGGTTGTGCCCCAAGATAGAGCAGAATGCTGCAAGCAGAAAGTGTCCACAGGTGTCCACCTGCTGCTTGGTGGGGACCTGTTCACTTTCCAGAAAGCAGACAGTGAACATAGAATAATGGAGCTCCAGTGAGAGAAAAACGCCATGTCTTTAGATCTGTTCACAGCTTTGCCCTCCACAATTTAGATGTGGAGAAAATATATTAAAGGCAAAATTCTTATTTTGTAATTTAGTTTTGACCCTAATCATCAGGCTGTGGTTGTATTTCCTCTTGTGAAGAACTTTATCCATTTAAGCA